TTGAGAGAAGCAGTGGAGTGTCTCTGTGGCGGGAGTGGAGAGTTTGTATTTGTATCAGTTGTAGTGTGAGTGTGAGTAGAGTGAATAGTGTGAGTAGTGTGAGTAGTAGAAATAGAGTCGATGCAGTGCAGAATGTCTTCTAACAAGCGATCAGAGTCACTCAGCATCAGAGGCACAGAATTGCTTGCTTGTTGCTGCATCTATTGAATTCTAATTCTAATTGTATTGCAACTGTCAACTGTCTGTCAACAACTCTTTTTCTTTTTGCAATTTGCCTTTTGTGGCGTCTCTCTTTCAATTGACACTTTGACAATTAATACATTTATTTACAGAATATTGATTGATCTACTCTTCATTCTAATCCACATTCACTCCTTCCTAGTTCCTTGCTTTCTTTGCAACTTTCACTAATTTTTAAATATTGCATGTCATCAATTGCTGAATACTCTGACAGATATAGTCACTACAAAAACTGAAAATTTAACATCTCGATTAGTATAGTGGCTAGTATCCTCCCCTGTCACGGGAGAGACCCGGGTTCAATTCCCGGATCGAGAGATTCTCTTTTCTTTTTTCTTTCTTCCTCCTTTTGAATTAAACGGGAAGCTTCCCTTTTTGTCAACGCTTGAGGCTGTTTTCTTTCTAATAGTTAAATGGTTAGTTTGTGCATGCAAAGAGGACAGATGGATTGTTGGAAACCTTTAAAATCTTTTTATAAGCAGGAAAAGCTAATAGTTTCAACAGGTTGGAGCAAGAAATTATTTTAATAGCTATTGGAGTGAACTCCCACTCCAATTTGTTATATAATCGGAAGTTCGGGAGCATGATCAGAGCATGGGCAAAGCCCACTTCGGAAGCAAGCGTGAAGCAAGTGGCAGCAGAAAACTCTAAAAAAAAAGGGAATTGTCAGACTTGTCCCGAGACTGCAGCCAATCGGAAGCAGGCGGGGAGACAAGTCGGAATGTCGGGACCCAATGACAACTGCAGTGAGTGACACCCTTCCCCTGCAGCATTTCTAAGTGCATCCATCGCATACATCTATCCATCTATCCACTACATCAATCTATCCACTACATCAATCTATCCACACCCATTCAACCAGCGCATCTGCTGCACCTGCTGCTTGCGTCGATCGCACTATCCACTAGACATCACACACACAACGCAACACATCCATCAAACAATCAAGTCAATTGAAATCAACCATGCGACTCTTCACATCCACCCCCTCCTCCTCACCACTCCTAGTCCCCGCATTCAACCTCCTACTCCAACTCGCCCAGCTCATCCACCCCACCCTAGCCAAAGACGTCATCGTCAACTGGGACATCACCTACACCCAAGCCAACCCAACAGACCTCCAAGAACGCAGAGTCATCGGCGTCAACGGCCAATGGCCGCCTCCCCCCATCAACGTCGATTTCGGCGATACCCTTATTGTCAACATGGTCAGTCATTTCTTTCTTTCATTCCATAGTACAACGAAGACTCTTCCCGCGTGATATCAACTGATTCCATCGCTTCCTTGCACCTGACTTCAGCTGACTCTTTCTTTCTTCTTCTCTTTTCCTCCAGAAAAACTCGCTGGATGTCCCCACGTCCCTCCACTCCCACGGACTCTTCCAGAACGGAACGGTGCAGTACGACGGTCCGGCCTTTGTTACGCAGTGCCCAGTCCCACCGGGCGAGTCGTTCCAGTACCGCATTCCGATCCAGCAACACGGTACCTACTGGATACATGGACACAATTTGGGTCATTATGTTGATGGACTGAGAGCGCCGCTTATCTTGCACGCCACAAAAGAGGCTTACAAGTAATGTTCTACTGCTATGAATCCTTTTTATTTTTGTCAACTAACCGCCCTTCTCTCTCCTCCTTCTTATAACCATTTAAAAATCAGATACGACTACGACCTCACGTTGGGCCTCTCGGACTGGTACCACGACGAACACCCTGTACTCTTGAAACAATTTTTGAGCATCTACAACCCCGGAGGCGCCGAACCGATCCCTGATGCCGCCTTGATCAACCACAAAAAGGACGGCGACGAGGTTTTTACGTTTGTACCCGGCAAAACCTACAGGATTCGATTGATCTGCATGACCGCCCTCGCCACCTTCCGGTTCTGGATCGACGGCCACGACTTCCAAGTTATCGAAGTCGACGGCGTCGACACTCAACCTCTCACCGTCGGCTCGCTCAAGATCGCCGCCGCTCAACGCTACTCGGTCCTCGTCAAAGCTCGCGAGGCTTCCAACGCAACCAACGTCCGGTACCTGTTGCACGCCGACATGGATCTGGACATGTTTGACAACCCGCCGGCTTCGTTGAACCCTCGCGTCACCGCGCAGATTGTGTACAGCAACTCCTCCTCCGCTGCACCTTTGAACTTGACTCAGGCGCTCGAGATCCCTCTGTCACCCGAATCCCTCGCGCAGACTGCACCCACTCTCACCGTCGACACCCTTTTCGACCCGCCCGGTGGCGTGGAAGCCACGCTGCAAGACACGGACTTGGTGCCTCTGTTTCCTCAAGCGCCCTTTGAATCCGTCGTGATGCAATCCCACACGCTTAAAGTTACCTTTGAGCTCATGAACGACGGCACCAACCGCGGACTCTTCAACAAGATTGCATTCAAGCACCCTTTGGTCCCACCCTTGTTCTCCGCCATCTCCCTAGACGCCTCCACAGTCGAAACACCCGAAGCCTACGGACGCTACACCCACCCCCTCGTCATCCCCTCCACCACCCAAAACACCACCACCACCACCCTCATCCCAGTCGTAGAAATCATCCTCATCAACGACGACCCAGGGAACCACCCGTTCCATCTGCACGGCCACACGTTCCAAATCTTGCACAAGTCCACAGAACCTTACGACCCCAGTGTTCCCCTCCCAACGTTTCCGGAGAACCCGGTGAGGAGGGATACAGTCGTTGTACCCTCGCAAGGATTCGCGGTGTTGAGGTTTACAGCCGACAACCCTGGGATCTGGCTATTCCACGTAAGCCTCCCTCCCTCTCCCCTCTCTTTTTTTAAACTAACCCTCTTGTTGTTCTTTTGTTGCGTCGGGGGGTTTTTTTTTTCTGATAGTGCCACATCGAATGGCACCTCGAAGCCGGTCTCTCCCTCCTCTTCTTCGAACGCCCCCTGGAACTGCCTCAACGCCAAACAGGACTCGACCCCACCTTCACCCAACACTGCGAAAAACTGGGTATCCCGACGCGGGGCAACGCGGTGGGGAAGATGGGTTTGGATTTGGGGGGTTACGAAAACGGAGTGGATCCGTTGGTGGATGGGTTTGAGGCGAAGGGGGTTTGGGCGCTTGTAGGGTGTATAGTGAGTGCGGTGTTGGGGTTGGGGGTTGTTGGGTGGTTTGGGTGGCCGGAGAAGGGGGATGTGAAGGAGGAGTAGAATCAATTAACTCATTAAGGGGAAAAAGGACACTGTTGTTTTTAGTTTGGAAGTAATAAAGAAATATGAGGAAGGAAAATTTAACTTGAGCTTTGTAACCCCACTTGAAGTGCGCCAATAAATAGGTTAATTTTAATTAATCATTCTATTTACGCCTTTTCGAGTCTTTGCTTGTGGATGCCATGCTGTGCCGAATGCATTAGCAAAAGCCAAGAGATTCCGTACATCGCAAGCGATGTACACCCAGTCCCAAAACTTAAGCGGGCGGGCGTTGCTCGAGCTCTGCGGTGACTGGGGCTGTCATACGACTACCGCAAAGGTATCTAACAACACGGGAGTTGATCAGATGATGTTTGCTGTTCTTGAATCCACAGTCTTACCGACCGTTGATTGTAAGGTGTCGCACGTCGAATTCTCATCCAAAATTAAAAAGGTTCGATATACGCGATACTATGCGCCCCACCAAAGACGTTGCTTCTGACAGTCTATTCCAAAGAAGCGGCTCTAGACTCTACTTACTCGGTTTAGATCACCCCAAAACTCTTTACTTTCTTAAATCAACTTACCGTAACCGATTATTAAATTAAGGAGACTAGCAAAATCAAAAATTTCAAAAGCATTGTTGGTTTAGTGGTATAATTACCGCCTGCCACGCGGTAGCCCCGGGTTCGATTCCCGGACAATGCACTCTTTTTGGTTCTTTCTCCTTCCTTTATTTTTACTGTTTTGCTGCTAGATCGTGAGAGAAGTGCCTCGTTTTCGCTAAAGCTATTCTGCGTGGCTTCCAAAGTTCTTGTCCCTCTCTTTGTTTTTTTTTTGAAATCTCTTCACTTTTTTCATCGATCATCTGCGGACTCGCGAGTCAGAGGTGCAAGAACTTTGTAGGATGACAGTAGATGTAGTGGACCTAGTTACTAACGCGAATGTGTTGGAAAAGTTGAATGTGAAACCTGGAAAAACTTAATATTGGTGCTTGTCACGTTCACTACGTCGCACCTTTGTCAATTATAAAGAGGTAGTCGATAGATAACTGACGTACGTCTTAGCATTATCCCCCATCCGCCACTTGCTCATCGCTGTGCAACACAGTGGTCGTGGATGGATAAGGATGGGGACAGAAAAAGCAAAAGGTCGAGGTCCATTGATAAAGTTTCCACTGAAAGAGCTCGTCAGACGTTTGGCAAGTCGCTAACCAACCCGATCGTACAACACCCATCCGACGGTCCCGACTCAGTCTTAGATCTTCGCAGAGAGAGAAAGAGAGAGAGAGAGCTCTGAATGTCGTCGCAATCCACGCATCGTCAATCACCACTACAATCTGAATCAAATGCCAACACATTGACATCGCCTGCGCTCCCCACTTTCAACACGTTTGACCGATCCAGCCTCGAGCCGATGGGACCCCTCACCGATTTCCCAGACCTGAGCAAGATCCTGGAAGGTGTTCGACATCTTCTAGCTGAAAGAGGCCAAGATAAGGTGCTGGTGGAGCCCATAGAAGCGATCGATCATCCTGGTTTGGAATCGGACGGAGGATCTAACGGATTGTTGAAGGTGGGAACCGGAGTCGTTGGAGGTTGGGGAGATCGAGTGGCTACTTCAAGTCCTTCTCAAGCTGCTGCTGCAGGATCTTCTTCTATGAGTTCAACTAAAAGTGGAGCTTGGAATAACTTTGGTTTCGGAGGAGTCGTTCCGACATCAAATGGTGATATGGATGTTGATGACGGCGCCTTTGTTCTGCCGCCAGCTTTGGACTCGGGTGATGACGATATGTCACATCCTGAAGGAACTCCAAACAGTCACACTGCACTTTCAGAAATGTCTGACGACGATTCGGGAATCGATGAGCAGCCTCTGGATCCGACCTTCTTTCTCTATGCGGTGCTTCGGACTTGTCTGGAAGGATTTCAGGCGCTCCCGTCCTCAGTCGTCAAGGGAACTCGAGCAGTGGTGGAGGCCAAGGCAGCGCTGAAGATGGGACTCGAGTACGTCAAAGTCCTCGATGGTGGATTGGCAGAGTCAATTGTTTCTCAAACTCGGCACTCGACAAAGACTCTGCATACTGCAAGCATCAACCTTCGAGCACCCCCAACCAGCGGATCATCATCATCTTCACGAAAGCAAAAACAGACAGATGAGGTTGTAGATGCTCGAGCCAGCAATCTGCCAGCTGAGGTTCTCCTCCGGGTTTTCGGTTTCTTAACCGAACCAGAACCAGGCGCGCCACTCCCTGCATCCTCCCTCCGCGAATGCGCTTCCGTTTGTAAATCATGGCATTCTCCCGCATCAACCCAGCTCTGGAAGCGTCTCAGCATGGACGACGATCTACCACGCCTTTCAAGGCTCGTCTTGTGTCTCACTACCTCCCAAGCATCATCACAACGTCAACCACCGCAAACGAAACCATTAAGCCCCCCTAAAGCCTCTTTAGTTCGCGTGATTTCAATCTCATGCTCCGACGCCGACCTCGCCCTTCTTATCACTCTTTCCAGTCACCTCACATCCCTCCATTCCCTTGAACTTCGACGCTCCACTCTTCCAAACTCAACATCCTACAGGCTTCTCGACAGGCTACCCGGAAGATTCCCATCCCTGCGCAGTCTGTTCGCTGACACTATACCCCCCTCTGCACTCGAAAATTGCATGGAAATCGTTCGGACAACACCTGAACTTCAAAGTCTCCACATCTCCCTCTCTGCTCCCTCTCTTCATTCGACACCCACACTACCATTGAACCCAAACACCCTCTCCACTCTCTTCGCACACCTTCCCAATTTAAAGACTCTGAGTCTATGGCGTGTCCCTCTCCCTCGAGACGCCGGTCTCTGGGTGCCCTCCCTCGCTTCCTCCTGTCCAAACCTCAAAGCTGTTAGAATCGACGACTGCGGCGACATCTCCATGGACGTTTTTGTTGATCTCTGGAGGCGCTGCGAAGGTCTTGAATGCCTTGTCTTCCGCAAACTAAAACGTCGAGCCGCGTTTACGGACCTTCTCCTACGACCCACGATGACCCGCGTTGTCCTCGATGCTTGCTGGGTGAACGATGCGTTACTGGAAAGTGTTGGAGTTTGCGCTCCTAATTTGGAGGTGTTTTATGTAGAAGATGATTGGGCCGATGATGATTTCAGACATCCGGAGGCGCCGACGGTGGTGGGGGAATTGACCGAGAAGGGAGTGGAGGCTTTGGCGAGGCATTTGAGGGGATTGAGGACGATGACGTTTATTGGGTAGGTTTTTCCTTTTTGATTTCTCTGCGTTCGATACTAATGTAATGCCATGTTCTTTGGCCATTCAACCAGCTTCCCAGGTCGTCGCAACTTTGGCGCCCCAGCACTTCGAGCTCTTCTAGACGCCAACCCTCAATGTACAGCCCTCAACCTCGCCCGCATGCACCCTCTATGGCCCCACGCCATCTCCGACACCTTCTTGCTAGATCTCGCACCCTCGTTGGGCCGAATAGAAGTCCTTGAACTTTACATCCAAAACCGCATCTCCGAACAAGCCCTCATCCAAACCCTCACCATTGCTTCCTCCATCTCCTGCCCCCCATCATCGTCATCCACTTCCCCCCTCAACACGCGCAATCCTACCTCAGGCGGACGTCTCCTGCGTCTAGGCCTCAGCGGCTGCAACCAGATCGGCGACTCCACCCTCAAAACCCTCCCGCACCTCTTCCCTCGTCTCGAAAGGCTTGATATGAAAGGATCCCGCGTCACCTCTTCTGCGCTTCAATCTCTCGTATCGACTTGCAAAAACCTCAAAGAGTGTTGCGTGGATTTGGAAGACGTGGAAGGTATGGAGGAGGTGGAGTGGGGGAAGGTGGTTCAGAGGGATGATCCGGTGAGTGAGGAGGTGTTTAGTCCTTATAGTGTTTGGGAGAGGTATTTGAGTTTGTTGGGGAGGAGGGAGGGGGTTGTTTATTAAGATGCTCTTCATCTGTGTGTGTGTTTCGTGTGTTTTGGGAGAGGTGAAAGGTTTGTTGATACGCGTATAAAAGGGCTGTTGTATTAAATTAAAATAAATTAATGATGATGATGCTCATTAGGATTGGTACTTTGAACACGTAAGGTCCTCCTTTCTCTCGCTCACTCGCATGCATGCATCGTCCGGACTCCCTTACACACAAGACAGAAAAAAAGGTGGGAAAACCACCCCGCAAAAGCGATACTCAAAAGCGACAACTCCTAAGAGATTGAAACAAACAAACGCGACGTGCAAGGATGCCAAAAACCCGACTTTGGGGTAAAGAGAGAATGAGGCAAAAAGAGTGCATTGTCCGGGAATCGAACCCGGGGCTACCGCGTGGCAGGCGGTAATTATACCACTAAACCAACAA